GTACAGTTTGGTAGTAACTCCGTGCTCGAACTGAGCAGAGAAGCAATTCCTCTTGACCCTCCGGGCCGTCAAAATTTGACAGCCGGGGGGATGACAATCGGGTGAGGATCATGTCCTGGGATTTGGTTCTTGACGAGAAACCTGATTCGTGTCTTTAGCACAACTTGATTGTCCATAACGGCGGTACATCATCCGAGAAGGACAATGCCCAGAGCTCTGACCGACGCCTACCTGAGCGGTGCTGATCGGAGACGCTCAAATGGTGGTCTGCTTAGAGCAGACAACACAACCGACAAGTCCCAGTTGGGCGGTTTCCTTGTATGGGGTCTCTGCGTCTGGAAAGCAGTAAATAGTCTCCTAATAATAGGACAATCGGCTAGTCTCGTTCTCGTACGTTCTCAATGGTGGGGGACAAGGCCGACCTGTAGCCAACGATCGTTGCGCAAGACAAACCCACTTCGTCAAACAGGTGGATGAAGGAGCCTGCTACCTGGCCAATCTCCCTTCCGCTACACTAATCAGTGTATGCTCGCAATCTAGAAATGTAGGCCGCATTGGTAGAATCCCTGTTCGCCCTGGCCAGGACGTTGGCAGCCCACTCAGATAAAGCTTTCATATGTGTGGGTCTACTGAGAGCCTCTATTTGTGTAAGTGATACCCGCTGGGCTCGTTGGTAGTGCGCCGTCTGGTTGGGACAGCAGGTCCAGTAAGTCCGGAAGCACTACTGGTGTTTCGACTAGCATTTCCGACAGAAGTGGAAACTAGGCCTTGCTTGGCCAATTGGGTGCGACCAATGATAATATGCAGGTGTGCACCTGTCGAAATTTTCTCCGGTGCCTGATGAACTAGTGGGAAGGGAGGAAAGGCGTACACAACTAAGTTGGTCCATGGAGTTAGCAAAGCGACCCTGGCCCAGGCTCCTGGAGTCGGCAGGAGTGTTACGTACGTACGCTTGGCGTTTTCTTTTTCTGAGTCAATATCCAAATAAGGAGACGATTGTGCAATAAAGATTATTATTACATTTTAGCAGATTTTTAAAAGACATTATTATACAAAGCATATTCAAACACTGTTTTTGTTTTCATGTAATGCTGTCCTTAAATGCAAATCGTCATGCAAGCATTTTAGGCTGTTATTTTTTAGTAAATTAGCACTACAGTACAAAGAGAAAAAAATGTACAGCGATAAGGACTGAAATGTTAACCACCACACCAACCAGTTTGACTGGCATCATTGCGGATTCCATAGAATGCATTCAGTCGATGTTAGAGATGATTGTATTGCTGACAGGCATGGTATAACAATGTGAATGATTACATGCTTAGTTCATGTGAGAGTCACATGGCTATAGCACTGCTGTATAACCCTTACCCTTTTTTCATTGTCTTCCAGGTTTGTAGGAATAATAGATTCTTTTACGGAATAACTCAGTCTGGCTACATCATGTAATTTGGAGTTCACAGCAGCTTTACGTAGCAGCAACTCATGCATTTCCCAGAATTTAGATAACTCCTCCTTAGCTTTCTCAATTTTAGCTTTCTGTAATTCATCTTCTGTTGATATAAATAATACTATATTACAGGAATCTTAGAAGAAGTTGCGAATTAGTTACGAATCGATTTTGATGATTTTTGCTGTACTTATATTTACGACTTGATCCAAGCAAAAAAATCAAATTTGAAACCATCGCCAAAATGCAACTTTTTACTAAAAATTACATCACATCTAGTCACAGATAAATACATCTGCTGGTAAAATATGAAGAATTTGCTATTAATTTTATGTGAGCTAACACATAAACAAAACTCATAACCACAAAACACTTCACTATCAAATTCAATAAGAGAATTTTCCAAGACAAATGACAAATAAAACATGTACCACCATGGAGAATGCATGTGCATTGCCAAAACAAAATTGTGCCCTCTTTTGGTATATACCGCATAGCAATGCATAGTGAACCAGAAAATCATGTTTTTGGGCCTTGCTGGAAGGTTTTGATCTACCTTGACGTTTTTAAAGAAAACAAAACACAATATTTGAGGTAGATTGATAATGATAATGAAGTCATCTCACAGGTGTTAAGCCTTTTAGATGTACATGTAAGCATCTGAGAAACATTGAGTTTTTGTGAAATAATTGAAGAAAATCTGCCATTGCTATGCATCAGATCAAGAGCACAAATTTAGCAGCACATGGCTGAACAAACACAAGTTTTTATCTTGAATCAAAACTGATCATTTAATTACTCATATTTATGTAAAAATAAACAAATTATTCTGTCGATTTAAAATTAATTTATTGTGTACTTGTGTAATTCTGAATTAATTAATGTTGTTTTTGTATTACTCAAAGGAATTTAATCACTAACATTTACCTAGCTATAATAGCTATTATTGCATTTAATCCCATTTGAATCTAAAAAGTTTCATTTTAGTGACAATTTAGGACAATTAAAGTCACTGAAACTAAACATATTGATTGAAATATGTTATAAAAGTAATTATTATTTGGAGATTTTAGAGATATGAGATACGTATCATATTTGCTCTGTTAGTAGCACATGTGTATACCAATGAATGAGATAGGTTTATCTATGGCCAAAATATACAATAAATGTTGTTTTTTTATTTATGTGTGCTTCTATCACCATTAGAGAAGCACTTCTAAAAGAGAAAATATGGTACATAGTATCAGTTTGTGTAAAAGTCTAACCAACTAATTAGAAAAGTTTATTATTGTTTGCCTTCTATTCTGCATAAAATAAAATGAGACATGTATATTTATCACACATCATGTTACGAAATCAAACAAACAAAACTGAAGTATTACCTTCTTTTATTTCACCTTCTGCTAAAGTGGTTTCTTCCTCTTCATTTTGATCAAATCTTGAATAGTCTTCTGACTCCATTTTGATAATACAGTTAATGACCACACCAAGATCTGCTAGTATAGACAGTAGTTGTGCTTGTGGAAAGCCAGTTATGATTACATAGTGTTGTGGACCATCATCTGGTTCATCATCTGAAGCAACAAGTATGTTAGTCATTAGAAAAAATCATTAAACTTTAATATTCAAATCTAAAATGGTGACAGGTAAACGATGAACAAACATTCTTAATAAAAACATAATTGGCAAATTGAATCAAATCTTATAATTTGTATTGAGCAATATACACATGTAGGTAAATCCAAAAAAGGCACATTTTCTTTTACCCTCGCATGCAGAGCTATGTCAAAGTATGCATAGTAGTGCAGGTGTTGATAAGTATCACTGTAAAATCTGTATATAGAATTTGCATACCTAATAAAAGCCTCATCAGTATAATCTCTAAGTCGTTATGACGCGCCATTGATGCACAAAGATTTAATGTGACACAACTAGTTGTGCTTATTGATGCAATAGAAAATCATGGAATTATGAAATTTTTAATGAGGTAAAATGAAATAGACTAAGTAACTGTAAAAGTTAAAAAGGGAATCAGCAGCCACAACGTTTTGTTTGTGCCTCAAGTCACCAACACAGACAACATACAATTTTATTTTCTTAAGCCTGAATTCTCAACAATCAACAAGCTTGATTTTGAATGGATGCCATTTCAACTTGGAATCCCTACAAAATCAGTCTTGTTACAGGGCACCACATACATTCTTTTTGAACAATCGAGAACTGGAAATTCACCATTTCTCACATGTACAGATGCTTTAATAGAAACTGAATCACTCTGTTGTATCTGTTGCATAATAGTTGCAGCTTTCAATACTGATTTTACAGTAGCTTCTGTAAGTGAATGTTTCTTCTAAATGTTTTCACATGATTTGAGTTCATATAATAAATATCATAACTTACCAATATATTTATTTTCTTCATCTTCTTCTCCTCTTTTCTTTAGTTTAGTACCTTGTTTGGGTGCTGGTGGTTCAGGTGTTTTCTTGCCTTTTCCTTTGGTGGGAGATTTACTTCTAGGCCTTTTATCTTTGCCACCCTTACCATCTTTACCCTTTCCTTTACCCTCAGCAGCCTGAATACAAATGTGGCATATTAAACAATTAAATCTCAATAGACTATGTACATGTTTATATCAATACTATCGATACAGTGTTTTGAACAGATTTCAATTCCCTGTGATGTGATTTTACACAACTCACTCTTATCACATGTTAGCCATTGCTGCCTATATTTTTTTAAGCCGAGCTTTTGCATTGATGGAATATATTGGCAAAGAATTATAAGTATCATATCGTTGCAGGGATTAGAAAACAAGGCTTTAAATGCAAATTAGTCAGCAATGGCTTTGTATTGAGAACATGGCAAAACATTAAAGTAAAAAACAGCAGTAATAACTTTGATAAAAAAAAACGCATAGTAATGTAAAATAGTCCCTAATATAGTAAACCATCCATAGACCCAGCAACACAACAATGCATAACCCAAATATTGTACCTTTTTTTCATCTTCTCGTCTCTTAAAATCTTTTGCTTTAATATCCAATAGTTTCCATTTCAATAGTTTACCTAACAGCGGTAAAGGTATGTCCTCTTCCTCATCTAGATGTTTTTTTACAACTTCACAGATTTCAAAGAACTGGGGGGTCTCTTTAGGTTTCTTAGCTTTAGGATTCCCAAGCTCTTTGACCTGAAATAAAACAATGTATCCATGACACCGACTTGAAAAATATGTTTTAGTAGCAAAGTGAAGAAAACATACAAAGGCAGCTGGGGTAGATTTGTGTGTGGTAGATGCAGATCACAGAGAATAATTGGTAGACAAACAAACAATAATTATTATAGTCATCTTTGTTTGGCAAATTTAAATATGCAGCACTCATACCTGAAAGAAATTATGTGAAAACAATCCATGCGAGTATTGCCTTACCTCTTCATATAGTTGGTCTTTAGAAATGACACTGAATAATCTCCTGAGTCCTGATGCTATAGTAGTGGATAGGATATCAGTGTAAATGTTGTCATCTAATTGGTTACTGACTACCAATGCAATATTGGCTTTCCATGTATCCTAAAATAAGAAAATGGTGATAAATCTGTAATGAGTAAATCAACTAAACATAGTGCAGCATATAAATGTGTCTGTCACTATTATATTATCTAG